GTACTTTAAGGGTACGATGATATACAGGACTATGAGGGCAAAATCATGCTTCTTTAGTAAGGGTACCGGTACCTTGAGAGTTCTTAGGGGTAGAATAAAGGTACTTTAAGGGTTTAGGGTTTGGGGGGTTGAGGGTGTAGGGCCAAGGGTGCCCATTTACCTGTCAGTGTCCGGTGGTTTGAACAGCCTTTGTCTCGGCTCAGGTTGAAGGCGTTGCAGACGTAAGAGCTCGTGCTTTCTGCTGCTGTAGAACCCTTTACTTCTAGATCCTAAGCGGCCCTAAACCCTAAAAAACCCCTAAACCCCAAAACCCTAAATAAACGCTTAAAGTCTTCCGAAGCCCTGCCGCTGCGCCTCCTCTGAGCCAGCACCGAAAACAGCCACTGCCTGGTGAGGAAGAGCCTGGCATTATTGCACGCTTCCAGCTGAATTCTGATCTTTTTTTTGTTTCTTGTGGGATTCAGCCTTGAGGGAACGGATTCAACTTGGACTGAATCCTCTATTCGAAGCCCTCAACGCCTGAAAAAACTGCAGGAGGCTTCGGAGTAATTAACTACTCGGGGACATCGACAATGATGTCCATGAAGCCCGTAGCTGCAGACAGCACAGCATTGCTCAAGATCCCCACACTAATTCATATTCAGTCTTGTCATTATTGATACTGCTATTGTTCAAAACACCATGACTGTTTCTGATTTTCAGTATTCTTACGACTATGCAAACCTCTCCACTGGCGCTCCCCAGCTCGAGAAAAAGCTTGCCAGAGTGACTGCTTCCAGCTCATCGAACTCGAACATGGCTCCACCTGCCCAACTGCATTCCCATTCCACCCTCTCTCTCTCTCTATATATATATATAAATAATCATAGCAATAATAATGATAATAATAATATATATATATATATGTCTTCATGAGAGAGACTGGGCTAGTACTCTACTTGTCGCAGACTGAACAGGCAGTTGGGGCAAGGGGGTATGGGACAAACCTCAAACCCTTGGTCTGGGGGAGTTGAAGACCCAGCTTCCCAGAAAGAGGCATTTGCCTGTACCCCCTAAGTAGTTCCTTGTTAATTATGGTTTAGATTTAGAATCCTATAAGGTAATCCCGAAAGGGAACTANNACTTAGGGGCCTATGGGTAGATGCTTCTGGGAGCTTGAACCCGGAACCAGAACCCCTGCAACACCAACGAAACCTAGCAACCAGAATGGTAAACTACTCAGCACCAACCCACTAAGTCCAGCACCCAATTTCCTTCAAAGGAACGAGGCCTCTGCTTCGAACCAATCACCCAAAAGATGAAGCCCATGGAGCCCTTATAAGGGAACAGTGACTAATATGCGGCACCAAACACCCCCCCCCCCCCTCTCTCTAAGATCCTGGAGAAGCCCCATCCCCGCCTCGAAACAGGCACGGCCCCCCGGCCGATTAGAAAAGGGGAGTTCTGTTGATGTTTCAGGGGCCCCGGAGATTTGAGGGCTCTGGGCTTCACTCAAGCTTGCAGGATCTGAGTGCTTGAGGCTGATGGGTCCAAGGCTTGCGGTAAGGTATTTGGGCTTTAGACGAGCTAGGTTATGGCTCAAGGCATGTGTGGCTTCGGGGTCGGGGTGGCTGGGGTTCTGGTCATCTTACCCCTGGCTAGTTGTGACTGTAAGACAAGAGCAGGGTTCATGTTGTTGAGGAGCTCGATGTGTCAGTTTGTCGTGCTCATGTTGTCAAAATGCCTACGCGGCAAGCTGAAGGCGGCGAGTGGCGG